AGGCCTATGTGTAATTTAGATATGGTACAAAATATATATGGACAAAGTTTTGGGAAAAAAACATACAACATTTCCAACCTGACTTTGGTCCAATTCAGTAGAATGGCCCATATACATGTCACCACTAGATGTCCCTACACACCACCTAAACACCACGCACATGTTGGATGTTTAATGTTTGCTGTAATAAAATCACGTTATCTTGCATAAAGAAAACATGTAAAGTTAATTTGCTACAACAAGAAAAAACTGAAAGATTTTTAAAGAAATAAAACATTTAAAAAAATGTGTATTAGATATTGAGTGATGGCAGTACAGTCATGCATTGAAGTGAGATCGTGCGTGTGTGCACGTGCGTGAGAGAGGGGGAGAGAGAGTGAGTGTGTGAGAGACCATCACAGCAGTTAGTTCGCTGGAAAACGCTCGTGGAGGATTCTTTAACTTTTATTCTCATTTATTTTAGTATGAAGTGAGCTTTGCAGGGACCAGTCTCGTGAGGAGTTCCAGGAGATTTACCGAAGACTGCAAACTTTTTAGTTGAAGACTTGTCTTTTTTTTTTAACTCTCGATGATTTACGGTCAACTGAGCGGTGGCAGCCGGAGGAGCAGGTGAAGAAGAGATTCAAAAAGCGGGATCAACATCCACCAACTCAGCGGGGAAGTCTTCACAAAGGTACTTACACATACATATACATCAGACCCATCTTGTTAAAATAAGGCGAATTGTCTCTTTTAGAGTTGTACGATTGTGATATGTTTACATATATCTGGTTAGATATATTTGTATATTATTTGTAGACGAGGTTAATGTCATTGGTCTTGTCCCTGTGAACAACCGAAAATGTGTGAAACTGATTTTTAATAGTTTAAATGGACAAACACGTCATATTCATATTGATATAAGAACATAGCTGCATGTAAGCTAAATAGTAACGAGCTATTAACAGAGGTATTAATTATAACACGACTGAAAATAAAAGGTGGTTTTCCTTTTATTTATTTTAGTGAGAACTCGATACACGTTACGAAAACTGAGCTTAATAGGTTACTTACAATTTAAAATATCATAGACGAGGTACACATATTGACAATGACAACAAACCCAGTGAGTCCTTCCAGGGCTTGACAACACTTTTAGAAAACCCTGGGTAAAGATTTAGCTGTGAACTCCCCCACCCTCCTTTGTCTTTTAAGTTGTGCATTTTATATTTATCATGTTGCGTTTAAATTCTAACATTTAAGGCAAGCAAACAATGAAAGCAAGAGTTTGACACCAGAAATTACACTTTGAATATTTTTGTTTCAGTGGTTCACATTGCTAAATATCACATGGTAAACGTTAGAACCTTGGGGAGCATTTTGTTGATGTCTTTTGTTGCCATCTCACACATTTAGGCCACGTCTACGTGGAGATGAAAACGAACCGAGGTCGATATCAAAAAAGTATTCCGTCCACACGGAATCGGCACCAGAAACGTGTCCGCAAGACCGCTCGACCCGCTGGAGACGCTGTAGTACATATGCCGGGCCTGTAAGTGGCGCTGTACTTCCACCACAAAATTCACCAAAAGCAGCGAATAACACCCCCCGAGCATGGTTGCCTGATTGCCCTTCTGTTTATTCTCCACGGTGGATTTAGCAAAATGTAGTTCATGTAGTTCTCTGTGTCCACTTGTTGCTGATGGTTGTGGTAGAGGAGCTGTACATTTTGCACTAACATCTGTAGCATGGTCAGTAGCATCTGGAGCACGAAAGCAACCCTGTGATCCGCCATTGTTGTTGGCGAAACACATCAGCAATGACGCGGGGGGTGAGCAGCAGAGGTGGGGAAGGGCGGGGCTATGGCGTCATCGTTATCAGGAAGTGATCGTATAGGGCGTACACATGGAGCCGTTTGGCCCCCCAGAGCGTTTTGTCCGCAGATCTACCCACCTTGGGAGCCGTTATCGTTATCCGTGTTTCCGTGTGGGCCTCGTGTGGACAAACCGTCTATACGATAGAGAACTGTAGCGGATACAACCCGTTTTGTCTCTGTGTGGACGGGGCCTTAGGCTGTTGATGGGAAAACATTCTCACCTGAAGGTCCATTTAGTAAATGTTGATGAGCTTACAATCACATCACATGATCTTCATCAGCAGGGAGTTTGCCTAGTGATCATGGAATTGTAGATTTTCATTGAATGTGGCTTTGATCAGCAATTTAACAAAGCCATGATAATTGGACAAATTCTTCCTGCTGATAAAGACCATGTGATATGATTGAAAGCTCCGGAAATGCTATGGACCTTGTGTTGAGTTTGTTTTCTTTCAGAGATTATGAAAGAACTTGAGATAGTAGAGATAAATACATGATATATGATAGATAAAATAGTTGCGATTCATTGATTTCTTAACTGTTCTGTTTGGAGCTTGATAGAGCTTTTAAGGAATCAGGGGTTTCCCTATCCTTGATTTATCTGTGTCCAAAGTTTGTATGGAAAGACAAAACAAAAAAAGTTGTACCAGCTGGTAGTCTTTGGTCTTTGTTACTTACTGGAATGAAATTATGCCTTGTGTTCTTACCTTGAACATTCAGAAATAGCAAACATGCCATAAAACGGTTGGTCCTTGAGCTTTCCATGGTAACAGAGGTAAAAATACAATTGACGTGTTAATATAGTGTAATCACAGGTCTCTGTTATTCAGTTGGTAAAAAATGGCTTCAATTCTGTGTGTGATTAGAGGTCACACCATAAACTGAAAAAAACCATATAAGTGATTTATTACAAAATAACTGCCAGACCTCTTCAAGCCACCCAAAAATAAGGGACTAACCAAATAATTCAAACCAGAAAAGGTTAAAACGTTGTTCCAGAAAGATCATTGTCGTGATAGAGTCACAGAAATTTGAAAGACTGAACTTCCTCCACTAGAAATCTATCGATCTGGCTCAGAGTCCTCAGTTCAGAGTAATTTAATCTGACGGGGACAAAAAGAGCCCGCCAGACACAGCGAAAAGCAAAAACAGGCGCTGTGGAGATGTTTATCACAAAGCAGACACTGTTCCACTCTGATTTTATGTTGTTTAAAATAAATAATCATAAAAAGTACCAATGATTTTGATTTGTGCATTGTTAAAACTAAAAGGTCCACCCATAGCACTTAATGCACTTTCACCTATTGATTCAGGTGTAATCGCAATGCACAGAAACAATATTTGTTCACAGATCCCTCTAATAATTAACGTCAAAGTTAGGGAAAAGTCCATGGTTGGACATTCAGCGTAATGTAATTCTTTCTAGCTCTGAAAGACTGTCAAATTACTGTCTATTTAAACATCATGACAAAGCTTTTGAATCACATGTGAGGAAGTGTGTAAACTGACTCATGTAAGTGTAATATTTGCTTAATTGGGTGTAGACAACAGTATCCTATTCCAGTATTTGTGACGTATTTGAGTCTTTGTTAATAGTCAACAGTCCAAGACATTTTTCAGACTCTCCCTGTTTGTCCTTCTGAACAGGTGTTGGCAGGATCGCAGAGCAACTTGTCCAAACTAAATTCTGGTCTTTACAAGTAGCCATGGCTGCCAACAACACCCCTCACGGCTGTGGCCCCAATGTGGACTCCCTCTATTACAACTTGTGTGACCTTGATGCTGTGTGGGGCATCGTGCTGGAGGCCTTTGCGTCGGCTGGAATCGTCTCCTCCATTGTGCTTTTCATGGCGCTTCTGGCCAGCATACCCTTTACGCAAGACAAGAACCGCAAGAGCTCGGTGGGCCTCCACGCCTGGTTCCTGTTCTTCACGATGGGTCTCTTCTGCCTGACGTTCGCCTTCATTGTCGGAAAGGATTTCTCCACCTGTGCCTCCCGGAGGTTCCTATTCGGGGTGTTGTTTAGCGGCTGCTTCGCCTGCCTCCTAATACAGTGTGTGAGGCTGAACATCCTCGCCAGGCGGAACAGTGGCCCCCGGGCTTGGGCCTTGGGTCTGGGGGCAGTGGCGCTGTGGCTGGTGGAGGTGGTCATCAACACAGAGTGGCTCATCATCACCATAGTGCGCCACCCACAGGGGCCACTCAACGCCACAGCTGAAACTAGCACAGCCACGGCTACTTCTTGCAACATCGCCAACGAGGACTTCGTCATGGCGCTGATCTACGTGATGACCCTGATCCTGGCTGTGGTGGTGGCAAGCCTGGCCATCATGGCGGGTAAACACAATAAGTGGAAGAAAGACGGTGCCTTTATCCTTCTAACCAGCTTGGTCTCTGTGGGGATTTGGGTGGCGTGGATCGCCATGTACGTCTACGGGAATGAGAGGAGAGGGGGGCCCACATGGGATGACCCCACCTTGGCCATCGCCTTGGTAGCCAATGGATGGGCGTTCCTCATCCTCTACTCCATTCCTGACATGTGCAGTTTGAGCGGTGACGATGACAGTCAGCAAAGCTTCGGGGACGATCTGTACCCCAACAGAGGAGTCGGCTACGAGACCATTCTGAAGGAGCAGAGCTCCCAGAACATGTTCATGGAAAATAAGGCTTTCTCTATGGATGAGCCCAACCAAGGTGTGTAGCCTGCTAAAATGACAAGTCTCCTCTGAGACACAAATGTTGTTTATTTCCTCTTTATAGTTAGTTTTAACCATCTTTAGGCTTAAAATTAGGCTTGGAAAGGTTTTTTGTCCATTTCCTATTGAAACATACAAGCTAGTTAGGGTTTGGGTTGGGGTTATTGCTTTTTGTTGATATATCATTACACTACTACTATTACTCTAAAATATTAAAACTCTAATACAGAAATACGACTATATTACCTGTACTTTTAAAAAAGGAAAACCTTTCTTAATGGTTTATATCAAATCCATAATGATGAATTCTAGATCTGGGCACACCAAGTTATAGAAACAATATGTCCTGTTTTCCTTTTTTTTTTGGCTATAGCATCACTATTGCCTCATCAAAGCTCAACTTTTCAATTTAGCAGGTATTGGCTTGGTTTGTTTGAATGGTTATAACAAGAAGGGTTCGAAGCACACATACATAAACTTTGCATGTGACATATTAGTCACACAGCTTCCTCCCTGAATAAATATCAATCATACCGGAAGCTCAACAAAATGCCTGCATGGATTTGTAGGTTCTGTCCTTTGACTGAATGACCTCAAAAAATGTATAGCCCTCATAAACATCAGGATGGGCTGATTACCTTCCTAACTGTCCTCAAAAAGGTTGTTTTGCATCTAGGTGATGGCCCCACACAATTTGATATGCTGCAGTTTAAGTCCTGAGCCGAGCAGGATGATGATGCAGTAAAAAAACACCACAAAGATCAGAACATAAGTCTGCAGCTCTCAGGCAGAGAGAGCTGGTCATCAGGGCTGGAGTCAGTGGATAATCATAGAGGGTGAGGTAGACGCTGTAATGTGGCTGTTAATGTCACTAGTCTGTCAGCTTGTGTCACTGTGGTCTAGAGGTGGAAAGCCACCAGCAAAACTAGTTGTTGCCGTGTCATCTTGTGTGATAAACACAAAAGAGGAGGGATGTATCCAGTTAGTCAGTTATAAAATGCCCTATACATTTAAATATCTTTTTTTTAAATTATTGTTGATTATTGTGTTTAGCTCAAAGTTCAATTTGTTCCATATAAGTATGTTGCAAATAATGGGTTAGGGTTAGGGGGGTCTAACCCGTTTAATTAAACAACCAGTTTTTTAGCTGCGTTTTTGTAAGTGACTATATATATATTTAACCCATTATAATGCTGCCATTGTATATTGGCATTTATGTTTGATTAAGCTTATGGACTTTTTCTCTGCAGCGTTTTAGGGTGAAACCCTCACTTTTACCCCACATTTACTATATTTTTATGTTTTTCATTACAACAGTTAGTGTGCGTTTATAGATTCAGCTTTTACATTAAACACTAGATACAAAATGGCTGTTGTGCTTCCGTTTTTAGGAATTCTATAATACAGCCTTGCTGCCGGATAACAACATTATTTTTGAGACATTATCTGATCCTTTCAGCCTTACTCCACTGCCTTATTTAATCTACAAACACATTTCCTTTTTTATCTCTTAATGGAACCAAAGATTATTTTATTTTCAAATATTGATAAAAGATGACTCTTGTATGCACAGCTGTTGTGTGATAAGGCTAATCATATCTGGTTCATGACACAGAGCAGCATCATTTGAGTTAAACGTTTATCCTTAACTTCCCAGTTTACTCCCTATACAGTAGATAACTTTGTTCAATGTATTGGGAGACATGATGAATAAAAATCCATAATAGTCATCAGGTGCGGGAATGGAAACTGTGACCAACCATATGTACACATGTTGTTCCCAGAGTTGCAGTCAGGTATTCAGAGTGTCTGAATCATTCCTGTTAATGAGTGTCTAGTATCTAACTGCATCCCTAACCACTGTGTCCCATGCAAACACTCCCTCTGATTCCCACCAGAACCATCACTCCTTGTGTTTGCATAGTCTCCATGGCAACTGAGGTGTGGCAACAGTTTCATCCTGAGGAAAACGTTTGATTTTAACAAAGTCATCTCTCTTATCATTCTAAGGATGCAAGCACGAATGAGATTAAGGACAGATGCATCATGGTCTGCTGATTAAGTGCTTTGTAGCTTAAGTGGTTGTAATATAAAGATATAAGGGATGTTTGCTAGGGAAAGATAGCAATTAGGAGGCAGAGAGATATCACTCACAGGGCTTGATATGTGACAAGATTGTAACGTTTGTTGTCTCTTTGCATTACAGGGTCCAAGCCTGTGTCTCCGTACAGCGGCTACACAGGGCAGGTGAGGGGTTCAGTGTACCAGCCCACTGAGCTGGCCATTATCAGCAAAGGAGGGGGGATTGTAAGTACAAAAAAATTGGTGGTTTTCTTTCAGAGAAACTAATTTGAATGCTGCATTTGAGGCTGTAAAGTAGCTGGTTTACTTCCACTGTATGTCCTGTGGTAGGCAAATTTAAACTGAAATGAACACCACAAGTAACACTTTCCCAAAACCCCGGAAATGAGTTAGCATTCTACCTGTTTGCGCCACAGATCTTATCTGACAAACAGGTTTTCACCACAGCAGTCTATTACTTATTCTTTATTGATAAGGCTACATGCCATGTTTGATGACATTTAGGGATGATCATTTACAAGAAGTGTCATGAAAGATGCACTGGTCAAATTGTGGTCTTAACGATGAATATTTCCAAATTGCATAACAGGGTAAATTACAGTTTTAATGAAATTATTTTTTTGCAAATGTATTGATCTGAGGTATGTCAGTATACATGAGGGTAACACATGCGTCACTTCCGGGCAAAAATGACGGCTCCGCCCACTTTTGGGGGCAGACAAAGCTGTCATTTGAATGGCGGTCAATACAAATTCTGAAGTTTTTGCCAATCCGATCAGAAATTTGAGAAAACCGTGGATTTTTGGATCTTCAAAGAGCCCGATTACAATGGTCAGACAGGAGAACAATTACATTAAATCATTGGAAATCGACAATCGGGCTCGATATATGGTTAAATATAGCAGTAGGCGATCGATGTCCATAGATGAGAGTAACATCTACGTCACTTTACGGCCCCGCCCACTTTTGGGGGAAACCAACGCTGTCATTTGAATGGCGATCGAGCCTGAAGCCACAGAGCTCTTCTTTTACTGTCCTTTCTTCTTAGAGGAAGTACAGAAGCACGTAACTCTGGATTTGTTTTAATGTTTGAGGTGCAATAAACGACAGAGCAGCTTTTTGGCATGATAACACAATTATTTTCCGCCTCGCTCATGAGAGTAACAGCTGGAGAAATTACAGCCTCGCCTACTGATTTTAATTTAACCATATATCGAGCCCAATCGTCAATTTCCAATGATTTAATGTAATTGTTGTTATGAACTGTGACACAGGACCCAAAAGCAGGACTCGGAGACAGTTGTCCAAAAGTAGAATGTTGTTTAATAACAAAGACGTACTTTCCAAAAATAGAAAGTAGTTAAATAACAAAAACTAAGTCATACTTCAAAACAAAACTCACTTGACAAAAGGTATATTTTCAAAGTAAAGTTTCAGGAGTCAAAAGGCCCAGGTTCTCACGACATGAAACATAACAAACTGACAAGGGAACAAAGAAACACAAGAGCTATTTATAGGTGAGGAGGATGGGCACAGGTGAAAACTATCAGGGCAGGGCCAAGCAATCTCAAGGGCGAGAAACACACAAAGGCAGGAAATGTGGGATCTGAGGCCTGGACTACGACGAAGCAGGATTTTCGCTTAGCCGGCTAACTTCAGGGAAAACTCGGGGTTTCCGGTCCTACGAAGCTGGTTCTCTTTTTAGCAGGCTAGATCTCCATGGTAACTTATGCTGTGCGGCTAACCTGCCCCGGAGCAGGTTAGGTTGCAGGCTAAGAGCTCAACTCAGTGAAAGCACTGCCTGCTGACCAATCAGAGCTCAGTGTGCGTAGTTTAAAGCGATCAAGTCATATTACAGGAGGAAGGAAATACAGAAAAACTGCCGTTGCAGGAAAGGCGGTCGGCAAAAATCACCGACGGTGTGAACGTGAACATTAATAGAATATCACCTCCCATCTTCAGAGCAATCTGACTATTATAACATTAGCGTTAAGAAAGCTTACTTAAGGCGAGACACGGCAGGCAAAAACATCGTTTTTCAAGTACTGGTCAGTTTTGAGATTTTGCGCTATTTTGATTCTATAACATGTTTTCTTTCAGGCTTTTGGAAGGAAAACGTACAAAATACACATTTAAGTGTTTATTTTACTATAGTTTGTCTATTTGCGTCAGTAGATTTCTCCTAAATTCACCAAAAGTTAGCATTCTAACGTAACATAAAGTACCGCGACGCGTCATCAGAGATATCGTTGGAAAGCTGTGTCTCTCCTGCACAATCTCATCGGATCCAAATATGGTCGTTTCCTTTGTATCAGCAACCAATCGTGAAAGTACAAAGGGGTCTTAAACCAAGAAACAAAATCTCATTGGCTGCTGTCAACTTCTGACAACGTGATTCGTTCAGATGCGTCACGTGGTGTGCTAAAACACTTCCTGGTTAGCTTTCCGCTAGAAATGTAAATCTCAAAATGGCAACAGAACGGCGAAAAAAACGTTTAACAGAGAAGACGACAACAAATTTTCTACTTGCATGAAGCAAGGTTATACAAAAACGAA